CCAGATACTGACTTATCCGTACCAGACTCTTGCACATTCATAACTTTTCTCAACCCGTTAGCGGTCTGAGTATGACCTATTCAAGCGTCTGGGGTAAACATATACGTGGATGGGAAACAGAGGAACAAGTGAGAGAAAGTTCAGAACTTCATGCTCAGAGCGAAGCTATAGCGCGCGGGGCTGCCAGCGACGAGGGGAATTATGAAGACAATGAGGAAGGAGGGTACGGAATTTGCCGATTCGTCATGAGGATTGGACATGCTATAATAATGAGTGGAAGGATTCCTATTTAGCTTTATTGTCCCAATAGTTTACATAATGTACCAGTGGTCATCCTAACTTGCATCTTACCACTTCGGCGGTTGGCGTAGGCTCTTAAAAAGTGGCCATAGGAATCCCCTAGCATATTCGTCTAATGAAGAAAGAATGAACTCTCAAGTGCCCAATCTTCCATCTCCACCCGGCTCAGATGCAAATACCGCCGCCAATAACGTGGAGAAGCTACAGTCAATTTTGAGGTCTACTTACATACAAACCAGTTGTTTTTTACTCCCAGTCACGTTTGCAATCGTACTCGTCGACTTGCTTGCCGATCGCGACGCAGGCCATGTCCCTGAAATAGAGAGGATATGTCTTCCATTGTTGACGGCAACGAAAGGGGAACGAATCAGAGTTGTAGACCGATACTCTCCTGAGATCTGGATCGGTTCCATCGGCAATCGACAAGGAGCATTCAAACTTGATGAGACGGTTGTGAGTTGTACAGCCTTAACATTGCGCATAGATGAGTAATAACTAATATTATTCATCGAAGCAACCCGTACTTGGCAAGAAAGTACGCGCATTGTATTCCTGGACACCTCCAGCTGGAGAAGAAGGGCTTACATTCTCAAAAGGGGATATCATAGAAGTGGTCAGACATCACGAAGACTGGAATTGGTGGTTCTTAGGAACTTTGGGCGGCTCCACCGACCTTGTCCCTTTCAACTTTGTGGTAAAGCAAACTTACTCTCAAGTTTATTTCACTCTGATGGTCGCTCCTACTACAGGAAACAACTTTGGATGAAACAGAGCCAGATTTTGAACAGGTTCTCGCTGAATGGACTAGCGCATCCTCTAGCTCACAGGGAGAACTCAGAGCTTGTGCATTGTATGATTACAACCCCAGTGACGAAGCGGATCTCAGCTTCAAGAAGGGAGACATTATCACTGTGCTTCAAAAATACGATCATGGATGGTGGGATGGGCGTCTTGACGGCAGAACGGGAGCGATACCTAAAAACTATTTTACCGTGAGGAAAGGTTCAAGGCCCATTTCTAATTTTATTTACGTCTATTCTAGTTTTGCATTCCTTCTCCTTCTCCGAAGTTGGTCGTGCGGAATCCTCCTCCTTGGGATCCCTATTATGTGCGAACATTGTATGGCTATTCTTCTACAGATCAAAGCGAACTATCATTTTCGGCTGGCGAAATCATCGAAGTCTCCGATATAAGCCTGGCACCTTGGTTGGAGGGACGGAGGAGGAACGGCCAGACAGGCCTCTTCCCGATTAATTACACGACCAGAATACTGGATCGGCGGACACCCACATCACAGGCCTACGCACCCAACCTAGATGTGAGTATTTAGATTGTGGCATTTCGCTTCCAACACTTAGGCGCTGGCAAGGGGTTGGCCCAGGACCCGTGATAGATCGTCCCAGTAATGGACATTGTCATCTTGTATATTGGTATCTTACATCACCTTCATCGCATCGCGTTTTCCGCATGTGTGCATCGTGTGACGCGTTGGCCACACATAGACAAGGTGGATTCCACCTGGATATGACAAGACAATGTAACTCGACCAAGTACTCGTATACAATCGGGTGATTTCGATCCTCGTGAGCCAGCAACTGGATTCAATTACCCCGCCTTCTCCACAGAATCATCGCCATTCAGTCGCTCGTCAGCCCTTTACGCCCAGCTTGTTATAAATACTCGATCGGAAACTCCCAGCTTCGAGTCCCCCTTTCTCTTGTTTGAATCCCTTTACATCGTGGATTTTACGAAGTCATGACACGAACAGCTCGGTCGACACATCCACGAGCCATGCTCAAGGACCGGTGAGTACCTCCGCCACGTGACCAAACTTATGCTCACGCATTGTAATACGATCAAGCTCAGAGTCGCGTAATGGTCTCGACAAAACTGTCAAGAAAGGAGGTGCAGGTGCTCATTCGTGGGGGGACGTGATGGAAGAGCTGGAAGACAACTGGGATGATGTCGGCGAAGAAAGCCAAGATAATCTGAAACCTGAAACCCAGCCAGAAATTACCGCGACGGACCAGAAGGAGAGACTTCAGCCCGACACGGACAACGCCCCATCAGACCCAGTGGCGCTCCCACAGCGGAGAAGTACTAGGCGACGCGCAGCATCCGTTAGTGTCAGCTATACAGAAGAAGAGTTGGAGACTGCCAAGCAGTTCCGAACTCATGTATTCGGTAGTGGAGTCGGTACGTCCTATGATTGTGCTTCCTTCCATACAGTTTGGTTGATATTTCTTCTCCCTACGTTTCTCTGCGAAATCTATGACACCCCAGTTGATCTCGCATCCATTGCTCGTACCTCAGCCGCTGTGGCAAACCCGGCCAATAGGACGCCAGGCGCGCGAAAGTCGTCCAAATCTTTCTCATCAACCAACTCTTTTGCCTCAGAGTAACATTAGAGAAGATTATGTCACCTTGCGGCACATTGTGCCGCTCTTCTTCTCATACAAGGCATCGACATGTTCGGGAATCATCGTCTGTAGTAGTACCATGGTTTCATATTGCACAACAAGAAATGCTACAGCAACATTTTTGTTTCTGATGCGTGAATACTTCTCACCAGTTTAGCTTATGCATCATCAAGACACTGAGGATTGGACTAGTAATGCTCCTAACTTTCATTGTGGCATCACCGTATAAGTACGACAAGAGATACACGGAATGTACTTGGAAAGGCCGCACCCCTTAGCAGTAGGCAGAGATGGCAGCGGCGGCAGAAGTAAAGTAGCTATTCAGCACTCCCTTGGCATCTCCGCATTTTAAGCCACCGATGAACGCCTTGGCCACTTGAGCCGCACCGGCCTCATTGGTGTGAGTATGGTCAATGGGGAAATACGATTCCGTGGTAGTCTTTCCGAGCGCAGAGTAAACGTCGATGCACGCCTTGAAGTGCGATACGAATGGAACACCTTTGGTTGCGGCAATGTTCTTGGCATAACCTTCGAACTGCAGGGATGAAAAGTAAGAACGCGATCGTGTGAGAGGTGAAATGAACATACACGATTGGGGGTGGAGTTGATGGTCGAAACATTTTCGTATGGGTTGTTTGGCGTTTGCGAGCTGACGATGGGATGCGCGCCTTTGGCGACGGCCTCGTCGATCATTTTGCCGACGTACCTAACAGAGCGCAAGTGTGAGTGTATGATGCGAACCAAAGAAACAATTTCGTTCCTAACCAGTTGAAAGTATGGACGACTTCGGTAGTTCCATTGGTCAGAGTGACGGTCACGGTCTCATCACCTTCTCCGACGACAGAGCCACGCTGGGTGGATGCAGTGGGTCCACCACCATCGTTATGACCTATAACAGTTAGAAACCTTGGCTCAAATGGGCCGGCAACACTGCTAACCGAGTTCAATTACGACAACTGGAAAGGTGTCAGATGGGAAGGTATGAGTTTCTTGTCACGTACAGTCACCACTCTGAAGGAGCTGCTTCGTATTATACCAGAAGCCATCACGGATCCATGAACGAGCACTACTTCCACTCTTAGCGCGGTTCACCACTATGAGCGATAGTTAGTCTCGGGATGACTAGCAATGAATTGATATACTTACCTGGGATTGAGAAGTAGCCGGTAGCAACGGGAACTCCCCATCTGAGAGGCACGTTTGAGTATTCAAGGCAGTAGGCAAATAGGACAAGCATACCCTTGGATGCCTTCTGATGCAGAATGGGATGCCATCGTCGAGTCTCCGACGAGGTATATCGAGGCAGCAGAAGCTACCTGGAAAGAGCAAGCAAGCAATGTGAATCCTAGTGAGGCGAGCATAGTCTCAGAAGTTGGAACTGGAATAGTGGGACGGTTTCGACAGGAAGAGAGATCGGTCGCGTTATAACATCCACTCCTGGGATTGACTCGGCGAAAAGGAGAGATATGCCTAGTTGAACGGTACCAAAGAACCGGGGTCGATGGTCTCGCACTGCACGCGCGATGTCTTCTGCATGATGCAAATTTTTCCAGATTACATAGCCGGTGTTCTGCGACGTTAGAATGATCACGAGATGCATCTTCGACAAGAGGCAACGCGAGAGGAGCGACCACGGGCCGTTAGGAAGACACCCTCCGACCGTCTCCATGCAGTCCCAAAAGAGTCTGGGGTATTGAAACCGGGACTAATTGTGACTGGCTTCGCGATTCTTTTGCAAAATCACAAGCCGAGCTTTTGACGGGTTCACTAGGACAGCCATAATAATAGCCCGCATCAAAGAGCCCCGAGAACGAGCCACACGCCACCACGTCAGAAATCTGGCTGATTGAGAAGCCCTGGAATAAAGCTATTTCAGGATGTGGTGTATAGTATCCGAATATAATGGGCGGGCCGCTAGTGGAAAGGGGTTTGCTGTTGTGAATCACTGAACACTTGGGATACATCAATAGCATCTTTACTCAGGGTCAGGTCCTTTTGATTAGCAGATATGACATACATTAGTCTGGCATACACTTCATGCTCGCAGACATGTACAGTCCAACGAGTGCATTCCGATGGAACCCATCAAGTCTTCGGCCTCCCGCTCCGTTCTCTAACTTCATAGCATAGCGACTATGAGCGACACAGGTTCGCCTACATTGATAGATCTATATACCACTTGACAGCTGGACAAGGTCTGCCACTGCCAGGCTGGCCGACGACATCGATGCACACAATCCCATAAATTATAAATAGATAACGGGCCCCTTCAAAATTGACGCAACTTTGGTCCAATGGTTAAGATTCCGCTTTCCCATGTTTGCTAGGCGGAGATCGGGGTTCAATTCCCCGGAGTTGCACGCACTTTTGTTTTGCGCCTACGATAGTTAGTTTTGTTCTGGCGGTTTAGAACTGATCATATCTTCTCGGCTGGGACCGAGATTCGATTCCCCGGGCTGCTGAGATTTTGTCCCGTCCATAATGTTAGTCAGTAGCTATCCTCAATCCACATTCATTGGAGATTGTTAATCCTGTTTCTTGTACGCGAGAATACGACATCCTCCACTTGCCACTCTCCTATTAATAAACTTGGAGTCAGCCTCTCCCTTTTCGCTCCACCATGTCATCCCCAATTTGCAACCCGATGGTCAATTTATCTTTTGGCATCGACTTCAAATCAACACTTGCTGTCATCTCGGCGGATGAGCTGATCCTAATGATCCTAGAGGCGCTATACAATCCAGTTGAACCTAAATCGTACATGGTCAGTGATAACGAGAAAAATTATCACAATTGCATGCTCGTGAACAGACAATGGTGCAAATGGGCCCAACGAATGTTATGGAAAGAGCTCTCTTTGCCCGAGAGGGCATTTGACGCCGTCCTCCAACAGTTTGACGTGGCGAAAAAGGACATCATAGATGGGAAGTTGGAGGTGAGAGATGGATTTTTTTCTGTCTAGTCTGATTATTCACCTTTTAAAGGATCAACTATCCCGAAGACCTCGGGAAGCATATATTCGTTATGGCTTCTACGCTGCAATGGTCGAATCTATGAGGAATTATAGAGTGACGGAAGTCAACGACTTGGAACTACAGAAAACCCTGCACCTTTTCGACTTGAAGCGTCACCCATTCCCCCGCCTTAAACGGGTCGAATTGACCGTCTTTTCCACCGATTTCTGGCTTCCCTTATCCTGCCGTCACCACTCTATTACCGAAATCTACGTCAATATTACCGGCACCCAAGGCCCCGTTGGCATAGTGCGAGACATTTCGCGATATTGCACCAGACTAGAACGGTTGACTATTGACGGTCTCCTTCATGAATCCGATATTGACCTCCTCCAGGTTCATAGATTCGTATACTTGACCAGTCTGTCCCTTAAAGTGGATAGCAACCAAGTGGACAACTTTATGCGCATTGTCTTGTTTATCTCGCACAACCTTACAGACCTCGTGCTCTTCTTCCGGAATAGTGACAAAATCACTATTGCGAGAAGGGGAAGTTCTTTCCGCTCATTACGCACTCTCAGGCTCGATGGTTTATCATCGATACCAGCTTGCCTGGAAGCACTTCCGAGTGCCCCAAATCTCCAAACTTTACTTCTAACCTCGTGTTCCTGCGATATAATACCGTCTACTAATCCATGGCCAGTCTACAAGGCACTAAAGGAATATGGTAAACGCTCGCCCTTTACCAAATTGGAAATTGACAGCACATTCATTTCGAACGAAATGTTCGACGTATTCATTTTCTCCGACATGGATCATCTCACGGATTTATCGCTCACAGCACCCGCCTCTGGGATCCTACCCGTTGAACCAGCCTATCCCACGGTATGGCACCAACTAAAAACCTTAACGGTGATATTTGTGAAAACTTCATTACCCCAAGTCACACTCTACGACTTTTTCCTTCTAGCAACCCGAACTCCTTACCTTACAAAAGCGACCATCCAGATGGATGTGCGCATGGATTCCAATCCAGGTCTTCTATCTCCCAAAACACCGAAAGATACAGGAGACGAGCCCATGTGCGAAGGCGAAGATGACCTCTGTCCGGGTATTCTGGAATACCAAACGACAAGCCTCCGAAATCTCGACTTTTCTAATTCACCACTGGTAGATTTTGATGCACTTTTTCTTTTTAGTGTCCTGGAGAAGTTGGCTCCAAATCTAGAACTCACTGGACGAATGCTCGACACTTTATGCTGGAAAAGCCGAATGGCTAGCGATGCCAAGGCATATCTCAATAACTCTACTACGCATTCACCTGCTACAATGAGCGGTCTCATTTCCACTCTATCTGTATTTTAGCGCTAAATGCTCCTACATGTCATGTTGGTCACGTCTAATATGATCTTCGCTTATAATTGTTCATTCTGGCTCTTAAATCATCAAAATTTGATCCATTGGCTATACCTTGTTATCACTACTGCGTGCCTCCCATACTTTGATATTCTGTCAGGGTGCTAGGTTGTAAATCACGTTTTCGACTCCGCCCACACACTCTTGAGCTGGCCCGCCTATGCCAAGTATCCAGTGTAAATAAGACTATTTTTAGTGACATCAACCGGAAACGCATAACCGCGACTTCTACACGGGCGTATGGCCACCATCGACCGTTCAGCAGCTGCCTCGCCGAACAGTCAATCCCTTCATCCAGCATCGAGACATCGACTTACGGACTCTCCCACCCACTATGAGGACAAAACTCCGAATGAAATGGAGGCGGAGGAGCGGCGCCTGCTAGAGGCCGTACAAGACTGTGAGTGATCCAAGCTGCTACTTCGATTTAGTTGTTTTCTGATGTAAATCACACCCTAGACAAACTTCCACAAGCTGTTCAAGCCTCGTTGGGCTCCTGGACCAAAGGCGCCAACTCACTTGCCGTCATAGTAAGTGTCTATACTGGATAACCGAACGTATAACTGATGAATATAAACTCTATATTTTTGGTTTTTGCACGTTAGATGGTGCTTTTCGCTGGTGTCCAAATGACACTCATCCAGCTCGTTATCCAGCAAGACCAGTCAGCTCGTGACGAGTTTCAAGCAAATCCGACTGGGGAACCATTCTCTGACCCAACGCAAACACTTCCATGGCGCGTCATGCGATGGTTTATGTATGCAGGAGTGTGGGTTTCTGACCAAGTTTCCATTGTTCGGCTCAATTAATGACATTTTTTCATAGGGCAATCGACCTCGGGGGCACGGCTAGTAGTGTGTCATTGATCAATATGGCGTCTGCGGGCCCAATCGTATCGCGAACTAACGCCTTGCGAGACCCCCACTGTTTCTCTCGCAAGGTTATAGAGGGGGAACCGATCAAGAAAGAACTTCTCTTAGATGCCCAGGAGGTCGTGCTTCTCCGCCAGTTTGGGTTATCCAAATGGTTCAACAGGGTGGCTTGGCACATGCTTTTGTCGTTTGTTTTTGGCAGTCTATGTCTTTTGATTTCTCTCTGTATCTGGATATGGATCACCGAACCAACTGCAGTGTCGGCTACTCTCATGCCCGTAGTTTTGCTTGCGCTCGTGCCAGTCTGGTTTGTAATGTTTGGAGACTAATTACATTGGTTAATATACTGGGTATCTGTACGAGTTCGTTTATATGAGGGAATCAAAATGCGAAATGATCATATTGTTTTCTATTAGCCGACAAGGTGGAGTCGAAGTTGGAGGCTTTCCCGGTCATGGATAATCCTTACTTCACAATGCAAACCTTTCTGGAGAAAGAAAGAAAATGTATTCTACTTTGACACAATTACACGAGTATTTATCGTCCACACTGACCTGTGATTGGGCCTCAGCATTAAGTGGGCGAATCGGGTACCAAGACTTGAACATCAGGTGTGGATCGTATGTTCTCTTAATTTCTTGCAACCTGGGATAGTTTCCAGCATAGAGTGCCCTTGCTCCATCGGCAGTCTTAGAGTTGGCCGTTTCTGCAAAAAGCAAGACTCGGTAAGTCGTTTGATTGCAAGATAAAGGCGCCAACTCACCATTATTTCCGTATCCAGTGTCGTTCTCACCCTTATTTCCACCTTCAAACGTCTCCTTGACGGTCGCCTCGGCAACTCTCTTGAATGTCCTCACACGCTCGAGAGCATCCGCACTCGCCTCGGGAGTTTCAGGCTTCCAGTTGATGAGTATCGCACTGAGCGAGTGACGTATACGCATGCGGAATGCCGTCGCGTCAGGAGCTACGCTCGCGACCTTTCCCAAATGGTAGAACTCCCATAGCATCGTCATCTTAGGGGCAACGGTGTCAGTAGCGCATGGGCCCGGAGCACTCGCTGTTTCCATAAGATGCTTGAACATTGTTTCGGACATTTCAGGCGTGACACCTCGCGTACCCCGCGTGAAGCCGTTGAGATGGCAGTTTTCACCGTAGGGAATGGCTTGGTTGTGGATTCCGTTCAGGTTTTCGTATGGCATCATGCTTGCTCCGCTCACTACGGGTCCAAGCTCGTAAAACTTGGCGGAACGCTTGCGACCCTCTGCTTCGTCACCGTTGTAGAAGACGTTGACGACGAGAGCGGGTCCACCCATGGGGCCTCTTGTCGTAATTCCGAAGATAACCCCTTCGTCCTCTGAGGAATTGGTGCGCCATTCATGCAGGGCGCTGGTCACGGCAGATAGGAGTGGGGGAGGGAAGACGAGTGGACCAGCAAAAACAGAGTTTAGTTGTGGGTGAAGTTTGTATACGAATTCCGTCACACAGCCAAAGTTACATCCGCCACCACGGATACCCCAGTAGAGATCTGGATGAGAGCTCTCATTCGCGGTGAGGATGGAGCCGTTTGCGGTAACAATAGTCACCTAGGAAATGCTGGCGTGATTAATGATGTGAGGGATGGATACTGAGCATACCTGAGCGACGTTATCAATGGTAAGACCGTATCTGCCAGACAACCATCCATAACCTCCACCAAGGCTCAGACTAGAAGAGTGGGTCAGCCTTTAGCCATCAATAGCAAGCTTATGCATAACCTCCAATTCCAGTATGGTTTACCGTGCCACCGACTGTGGCAAGCCCATGCGCGATGGCCTCTTTGTCGACAGCAGCCCAGTTGGCGCCACCACCGGCATACCCGAGCTTTGCATCTGGGTCGACTCTGACGGTATTTAGATGTCTCGAGAGGTCGATAACAATGCCTTCTGTTGAGGAGTCACCTGAGGTACTGTGGCCACCACCGCGAACGACGACGGGAATCTTGTCCGTGCTATTGGCTGCTGTATCGTCATTGACATACTTGATGATTCTGGATACATCTTCGGCCGACTTGACAAAGGCGACGAGTGCGGCATTCTTTTGCGAGTTTTTGGCGAACCGGACGAGGGAAGAAGCATAGTC